CACGATGTCTGCACTAGCCCAGGCGGGTGCCTGCCTCTTGCGGTCCCGGACAAGCCCCCGGGAGCCGCCAGCCTTGTTCCGGGAAGAGGGGGAGGGCTGGGGGGCATCGGGTGGCTGGTTCATGCTGTGCCAGGTGCAGGGTCTGCTGGCTGGGTGCTGGCAGCCTTGCACCTGGCATGGGCACCGTAGCCGGACCGTGCCCCTTTAAGGGCTCCGGGGCCGGGAGGGGGGCAGAAGAGTTTCCCTGGTTTGGCCCAGAGTGGCCACCAGGGCAAGCTGGGAAGGGCTAGCCTCCCACTAGTTTGAATTAAGTGGCTTCACAGCCCTTAATTCGAACTAGTTAATTCGAACTAGGCGTTAGTCCTCGTAGAATGAGGTTTACTTAGTTTGAATTAAGTGCTCCGCTAGTTCGATTTAAGTTCTAACTAGCGGTTTGTATGTGTAGCGCCTATGAAAGTTAATTCGAACTAACGGCTGTTAGTTCGAATTAACTTTGTAGTGTAGACATACCCTAAGAGAGTTGCAGTCACTACTGATCTGCTTAAGGCAGTGGTTCTCAAAGTGCAGTCCATGGACCACTAGTGGTCTGTGGTTTAAACTCAATCTTCCTCTCCCTGCTCCACACAGCGGGGAGCCCGCGCTGCCATTCAAGCTTCATGGTTGGTTGCCATGCAACTGCAAGGCTGCATCTCTGGTTTCCCACTCAGAGGGCACGTGGGCGGGCGGGAGAGGGTGTGAAGAAAGCCCCAGCTTTCCCCACCAGACCCCAGCTCATGAAGAAAGGCAGAGCAAGTGGCTCTGAGCTGGAAGCCAGAACTGGTGCTGCAGCCTTGCATCTGCACAGGCTCCCTATTGCTTCGGGGGGAGGGGAAGGGCTAGCTCCCTTCCCCTCCCCACCCCACTGGGGGAATGGCAGTGCAGTGATGTGCTGTCCAGAGACTTTTCCTGCTTCAAGGGGGTGTGAAGCCAGGTAAGCGTCCCCCCTCATGCCCAGACCTCTCTTCCCCAAACTTTCTCACTCCCACACCCCCAGCTTGCCTCGACACCCTCCCTTTCTCCTGCCCCCTGGCCAGACACCTACCCCCACCCTGCTCCTGCATCCACCATTGCTTCTGTACCCTCCCCCCTGGCCACACACTGCACCCTCCCTTGCTCCTGCTCCCTCCCCCTTGCCAGACACTCTACTCCCAGTCTGTTTCTGCACCCTAACTCTCACCCAGACCTTGCAATCTCTCTGCCTTGTACATCCCAACTCCTGTCCAGATCCTGCACCCCCATCCCTTTCCTACTTGCTGGCAGCCCTGTCACACTCACTGAACCCCTCATTTTTGTCCCCACCCCACAGCCTAAGGGGGTCTAACTAAAGAACTCCAGAAAGTAAATCTGGCCTATGGGAATCCCTGAGCCTCAGTCTTCCCTGTCCCTGTCCCTTCCCCTCGCCCCATAGGCCTGGAGCAGCAGAGGAGTGAAGTGTCTCAGTTGGGGGCCACATCATTGAGGTTTGGGGATTTTTAGAGGAGTTTTTTTGCTCCTTACTTGTGTGGTTCCCTACTGATTTTTCTGTGCGTTAGTGGCCCTTGACCCAAGGAAGATTCCCCACCCCTGCCATAAATAAAGAAAAAATTTAAACCTTTTGTTTTGGACATAAATTAATATTTTGCTCTACTTAAAATGAAGTTTGATAAACTAACATGAGAAAGCTCAAACACTTTATCTGTTTAATAATTTAAATTAAACCATTCTCTGTAGCTGCAGCACTAGCAAAATGGCTTAGATGTAATTATGCAATTTCCATTAGCAACTGGTGGTCCTCAGAAAGGTTTACATTGAGCCAGATGGTCCATGGGCCAAAAAATTTGAGGACCACTGGCATAGGGTTACAACTGGCAGTATCATTAGTGCCTCCATGGATGAGCAACATGGGGTAGTGGTCAGAAGGCTTCCTGTAACACCTTGGATTCAGGATTTAGGCTCCCAGCACACTTCTCAAGATATCAGGTCAGGTCAGCAGATGAATGTCTCCATCCTTCTTGGAAGGAAGTCCTCAGCTACCAGCATCTTACATCTGCTCCCCTCAAGGGTTGTGGCCATGAGCTTCACATCATTTGGGACAGGTTTCTCCTGCTTCTCAGATGTTGGGATCTGCTCTTCAACTCCTGTTGTCAGTACGGCATTGCTGGTTGTTGACCTCAATGGATAGTTGACCTGATGAGGGTGGAGCACCATCTGTACACCCTGAAATGGCCAGCAGCCAGTTCTCCTTCCTCTGTTGCCACTGTAATCTTCCCTAGTTGGTAAGTATTCTCTGTCCTGGATATCTCCATGTGCATCCTGTCAATTAAGTCTTTATGCTCCAGATGATATGCAGATGAGCCACCTCCTCCTGCTATGCTCTTACCTGCTTCCTGGGAGATAAAACCATCCATCAACTCTCACACCAGGTGTTTCCCACCTACCTGGACATTTTTTACATTAAGGCTACCTTCCCAAGCCAAAGCAAGGTTATAGGCTCAGGATTCCTGTTTGGCCAGGTGCCCACTGGCACAGACAGAGGAAGAGCTAGAAGCGGTATTGGTGACATGCTGTTTTCCTCACATAAGCAATTACTTCATTGTGGAGTACTAGCAAGCTGAAGAAAAGCTACTTCCTTGCCTTCTTCTGGCAGTGAACTCAGTTGGCTAACTCCCTTTGGCTACGTCTACACAGCTTCCCTCTTCCGCATAAGCCTATGAAAGTGAAGCATGGATTAGCATATTGCCGTGCTTCATTTGCATAATTAATTAGGAACCATTTTTGTGCAAAAACCCCTTCTTTCACAAGAGCCATTCTTCCTGAAAAAATGAGGAAGAATGGCTCTTGCGCAAGAGGGGGGTTTTATGCAAAAAGGTACTGTGTAGACAGTGTCTTTTTCCGCAAAAAACTCTTGCGCAAAAACGGCTCCTAATTAATTATGCAAATACAGCACAGCAATATGCTAATCTGCTCTTCATTTGCATAGGCTTTTGCAGAAGAGGGAAGCTGTGTAGATGTAGCCCTCGTCTTCCAGCCGCCTTCATCTCACTAGACACAAGTCTTATAGCATTGAAGCCAAGAGCTTAGCTGGATTAAAAAACTTTTGTAATAGACTTTTGCTATTATTGGTTATATGTAATACTATACAAAATTTATAAAGGGTATACTCTTTCATACTTGGAAGCATAAGTCAGCCACTGGCTGACCAGGCTTTGAGAACTAGAAAGAATACTTTCCCCTGGGTTGATTGTTCTATTATGTTTTTTGTTTGGTTTTATTGTTTGTTTTCCCCAGTATTAAAGGGACAACTATTTGAAATCTACTCAGTTAAAAAAAAAAAACTTTTAAGAGTCTATCCTGCCTCAGCATTCTCCTGTCAGTTTTATGTTCTTAAAATCATTCTTTTTTCCTTTTTAAACATGTGTTTCTCTCCCTAGTTTCTTTGTGCTCAGCCCCCACAAACAGGGGAAACAGTGAAAGTGGACTATCCCAGCAGATCTCAAACTGTGGATTGGGACTCCCAAAGTGAGGCCGTTTTAGTAGGGTTACTAGGGCTGGTGTTAGACTTTCTGAGGCCAAACTCCAAGTACCACCACCCAGGGCTGAGGAATTCAGCTCAGGGTGATGACTCAAGTTACAGCCCTCTCCACACTTGGGGCTGAAGCCTTTGGCCTTGGGGTTCCCCTTCCCCCCCCCAATGCACAGACACACACCTGGGGCTGTGGAGCTTAGACATGGGTTTTGGCCCCCCGCCCATGACACCAGGGTTCAAGCAGACTCAGGCTTCAGTCCTCCCTCCTGGGGTCATGTAGTGATTTTTGTTGTCAGAAGGGGGTTACAGTGCAATGAAGTTTGAGAACCCTGGAATAGACACAAAGTCATATCTAGTGCACCAAATAAACAAATTTAAAAATATTTTCCAGTATCTTTTTTATAGTAATACAACTGACATGGGCAATAGGTGAAGGAAGGGCTGGGAGGAGGCAAGCCCCCAGCCCCGCCCTATTTGCCCAGGCTCCGCCCCCACAGAAGCCATCTTGTCTTCCCCCAGCACCACAGATTCAGCCTCACCCACAGTACCCTAGGCAGGGAGGAGGGCACACAGCCCCAGCCTCCCTGGCCTTGGAGCATGGGGAGGGAGGCAGACGCATGGGCTATTGCTGATTTTGGACTTCATGTATCTTTTACTTTTAAAACAAACTTCATATTTGTGGATAATTTAAACACTATACTCAAAGGTACAGACAGTCTTTTCTTCTCCTGTGTATTATGTAAATTTTTAACACTAGTATAACCCTCTTGCTAGTAGCAGTTGGCAGCCAGAAGGGCCAGTTTCAGTATCTAGGCAGGTTCTTTCAATAAGGTAAACAATCTGGCTTGAGCCCCCTATCCAGTAAACTGGGAAAATTCCAACCTACCCACTGGGCACCTTTAGAGGCAATTCTTCCCCTCTTGCAAGCATTGAGTCAGGGATAGAACAGTCTGTTAAACAACAGTAATCTAGCATCAACCTACAGGAACACATATAAACAAAAAAAACCCATAACATAAACAAAGAAAACCCGTAAGCAAGGTAATATCCATGGAGTCCGTAGGGCAGAGTCTTTTGCTTAAAGATCTTTAGTCCAACCCCTAACTCATATAGTGTGGTTCTAACATCCCACTCATGGCTCTGTCCAGTCAGTGCAGACCCAGAATCCATAAGTACATCATCACGATGTCTCCACTTGTTGAGCATGTGGCAATACCACCTATGTGCTGCTCCTGCTAGCTACTATTGCCAGCTGCCTGTTCCTGTAACCCGCTGCTCCTACTGGCCACCTGCCCTGCCCGCCTGCCAGCTGCTCTTGTCAGCCGCCCATTCCTGCCAGCCTTGTGAGGGATTTGGCTCTGGGCCACAGCACAGTCCAGCCAAAAGATTCCAGCATCCATTGGAATAGCATTTTAAAATTATAAAGAGACTCCTTACGAAGTTTGTTTTAGTTCTATCATTAGAATGGGAAGGGGGGGAGATGGGTTGGACCAGTCTTACAGCTCACACTTGGAGGGCATGCAGCCTGCTAGTTCAGAGCTCTGTTCTTCCCCAAAGTTGACTTTACAGAGTTTGGAAGAGAAAGCCTTGTCCACAGCAGATTCGTTAAAATGACAGTTTCTCTCCTTTGAACTGAGTTAAACATAGTCTGCTTTTGTGTGTTTCCAATAACTGCAAGCATTGGTAGTCATATCTTACAGTTCCTTCATTTAGGGTTAACATGGTTTGTGACCCCACAACAGCCAAAATGGTTACAAGAGGCAAAATACCAGTCTAATAATTAAATATCTAACAGACCTAAGCAACTGAGTGAACTGTATTTACAAAACCACATCCAGGATTTCTTTTCTATTCCAATGTGAACTATATTTACATAACAACAATTGAATACTTAGCAGGTCTAAGCAAACTGAGTGAATATAACCACACCCGGGATTCCTTTCCCATTCCAGCTGGCTATGATGGAAGCATTGATTCGGGCCCTGCTTACACGAGTTTTAATAATTTTTTAAAATCTTTTATTCAATGAATTGTTGTATAATCTGACACGTGACGTACTCTACATTCCACAGATGCTGATGTGCACAAAATAGGAATTTGGGTTCAGTTGTGCATCAGAGCTCACTGATAATACAGTGGTGAGATGCTGCAATTGGGCCTAACAGACACAGCTGGGCCACAAGTTCATCTTGGTGCTAGGATGGCAGACTGCAGAGTACAGAAGGTCAGCTTGCTGATTATACTAAAACTGGTACAAAACTCCAGCATCAGTATAATCAGCCAGGGCACAAAGCCATCCTCCCCATCCCCAAACACACAAATTCAAAACTAGGACATCTGGTCACTCTGATCTCTTTATTTGTACTCTCTTGCCAATTATTAGCATCCTAGGCAGTGGGAGATTAAAGAACACCCTTGTTTTTTTTATTATGGCTGGAAGACATTTTTATTTTAAAATAAGAGTGCAGGGGAAATTTCTTTGCCTTTTGTACTCTTATTAAGATTATCTATTTTTCTGTTGACAGTAAATCTTATTAGAAAATGTGCTTCATCTAAAGAGCTAGTTTTAAATGGTGAAATATTAATAAACAAGTGAGGTCTTCTTAGACATAATGTGCAGTGAATCTAGATTCTGCTGATCAGAGATTCCGATTCAATTATGCTATATCATTCCAGTGTAAAAGCATTTTAAGCAGGGAGGACTCATGTATAGATAATGAACAACATAATTTCCAAATCTGCAATATAATGTGCCAGCATATTTCTTATAGGCAGCTGTCTTATTCTGGCAAAAATTCAACATTAATTTCTGGAACAGGTGGTCATTATTTCATAACACATTCCCTGAGGAAATCCTGATAATGGAAAATGGTGTATAATATCTTCTCCTCTTATAAACTGTGGTTTTAAACTGCTCTAATAGCAGTTACCTCTTTTTAACTCAGTGTAATCTAAGGTCGAATCTTTCTAGCATTACTCAAATAAGTAGCTCCAGTGAAAAAACTGAGTTCAGTTCATCAGCCCCATATGTAATACAGCCTTATATGCTGGCTCTAGTGGTACAAAGTGGTCATAAGCTTGGCAGATTCAGCTCTTAGAAATTCTCCAATTATACGGGGAAGTTGTTGTTGTAGTATAGAGCAGAAGTATCAGCTCTACACAATCCCCTTTGCACAAGTGGTATGAATGGGTCATGGTCAGAGAAAATAGTATGGGCACTGCACATGGCTATTCCCAGTCACTGCAATGGTTCTTTGGTGTCACAGCCAACCAGTTAGGGCATACTAAGGCTGCTGTAACCTTCCCCATGAGGCAAGCTCTGGCTCTGGAAGTAGTATATAGCTGTGTTTGCTTTACCCCAAGATCCTACACTGAATGGATCACAGACTTAGCTGAGAATCAGGCCCAGTGACTTTTATGGGACCACTTATGTGAGTGTGGCAAACAGAATTTGGTCTTAAATGAGGCATTTTTGTTAACTACTTTTTTTAAAAAGTAGACAGCCTCTTCACCATACCAAACTAATTTTCATAAAATGCGGCCACTTGTTCATGTAGCTTAGCCAAGTAAATCATGTCAGATGTAAGTATCTTCATTAATAATCTAAAATAAACATATTTATATGAATAATTAATTGCATTTGTAATTTATACAAAAATGCTTACATCTGTAGTGATACAAA